TGAGATAGAGTTATTGTCTGTCCATGTGAGGAAGAAAGAAGAGTGATGAGAATTGCAGAGGCTTGGAATCAAATGAGTATAAAGGACTAAAGGAACACATGACCATCAGTCTCCATGACTCTGAGACCAGAAAAACTAGATGGTGCCTGGCTACACTATCAACTGCTCTGAGAGAGATCACATTAGAAGGTTCCAGATAGAACGGCAGTAAACATAGACCAAAACTCAAAATTATATTAAAAAAAAAAGATTAAAAGACCAGGCTTATTGATGGAGTCCTGGTGTGGTGCTGTGGGTTAATATGTCATCAGATTGCAAAGTTGTTTGAATTGCAAGGTTAGTGGTTCAAGCTCACCAGCTATTCCTTGGAAACCCTATACAGGGTCACTATGGGTCAGAATCGACTTGATGGAACATCACAATGACAACAACTGTTTAGAAAGAGACTGGAGGAATTTGAGACTCTGGCCCTCGACCACCCTGTGGGTCTGGAAAGGAACTCACCCTTGTGACCCAGTTTTCAGCCAAGCATTAGATAGGCATATCGCAAGGTATGCTTTCCATGGAATGGTCAATCACTCATGATCAAAGGGCAACATTTCCCTAAGGACAAAGTTGAGAAGGGATGGGAGGGTGGGTGGAATGAAATGACAGAAAGACAGCGGGGTAACTGTTGTTGCGTGGAGGGGATGGCAATCATCAAGATGAAACGAAATATGGTTTGTGAAATGTAAAACTGGTGATCTTGTCTGTAAATGTTCACTCAATTCACAATAAAAAGTTTTTTAAAAGTCCATTGCAAAATAACTGTTATCCTTATTTTACAGGTAATGCATCAAGACTCAGAGAAATCCAGTTGAGTTGGATACACTTCTACTATGGCCTGAGTTCAGTGGGTAGTGCAGCCCACCTGCAATGCACATCTCTATTAAAGGTGCAGGCAGCCATTAGCTAGTCAGGAACCCCTGCCTGCTCTCACAGGTGCTGAGAGGAGTACCCATTCCAGGGATGCAGAAGATCTGGTCAGTCTGAGAGAAGATATGGATTATGTGAAGATAAAAATTATATGTGAGCTTGGTAGAAGCAGCACTTTGAGCAGTAGGAAAAGATGCTGCAGAGAATTTCCATGAACCATTTTGCTTCCATAGCTCATGCAAACCCAGTGTTTGTTCCTGGACTGATCAGGAAGCCTATGTGCGTCCTCGATCTCTTGGTTTCTTTTACCTTTGCTTGACCTTGCTGACACAATTGCCAAGAAAACCTCATCTCCTGAGGAGTGAGAGTCTTCCTCCCTCAACCTCATCATCACCACTCTGTGTACGTTCCAAGGAGCCTCATTTACTCACTCACTCTTTCATTCATTTATTCAAGACTCTTATGTATCAGGCAAGGAGTCCTGGTGGTGCAGAGGGTTTAGCTTTGGACAGCTAATCGCAAGGTCAGCAGTTTAAATATATATGCACACCCATGCACCTAGTATGCACAATAGCAAGACAATGGAGACAGTCTATCAATGAAAGAAAGGATCCTCAGCCCCTCCACAGGAGACAGATGGAACTGTCTGCTCCTATGCACATTTAGTCTCGAAACCCCTAAGTAGCTGTTCTACTCCTTCCTGTAGGGTCGCTGTGAATTGGAATCGACTTGATGGCAGTAGGTTTAGTTTTTGGTATGTACCAGGTGGAGCACTTTCTAGTGATTAGCTAGGATCCAAAGAAAATAATAGCAAATGCTATTATTATCACCTGAGTTATTCTTGCCTTTCAGAACACCTCCCCTCCCCTTCACCCACGCTGTGGCTCTTCTGCTTCTGGTCTCAGCCCAGTAAGAACCCAAATCCAATTATAATAGCAAATACTATTATTATCTTTGGAACCTAGCTAATCACTAGAAAGTGCTCCGCCTAGTACATACCAAAAACAAGACAGTCAGTCCTGGTGTGGCGCTGTGGGTTAATGCACCAGATTGCAAAGTCATTTGAATCACAAGGTCAGCAGTTCAAGCTCACCAGTCACTCCTTGGAAATCCTATACAGGGTTGCTATGGGTTGGAATCGACTTGACGGCACTTCACAACAACAAAAAGTCGTATTTGAACCAACTCCCCCATAGCACTTAATAATAACAACAACAACAAAGTAGTATTTGCTATTGTTGTCATAACAGTGATGACAATACTGTTGTTATTGTTAGGTCCCCTTGATTGTTTGGCCTATGCACAAGAGAACAAAACACTGCCTAGGTTCTGTGCCATCCCCAAGATCAGCTTGGGATCAGAACCATGTGATCCATATGGGTTTCAGTGGCTGATTTTTGGAAGTATGTTGTCATCTGAAAGCTCCACTGAAATATGCAAGCCCACAAGAGGTGCAGTGGCCAGGAATCGAACCTAGGTCTCCCACACGGAAGGTAAGAGTTCCACCACTGAATCATCAGTGCCTCATAATAATAATTAACAGTCCAGTGAGCAACCTCCTACATCACCAGAGCTCCAATAATAGCAATAACCTAAACCCAATGCCATCAATTCAATGTTGCCTCATAGTAGAGTTTCCGAGACTGTAAATCTTTATGGAAGCAGGAACCTTCCTCTTTCTACCTTGGAATGACTGGTGGATTTGAACTTCCACCAGGTGGAGGGAGAAGGGTACAAGGCAAGTGCTTTGTGAATGCACTGGCCGGTCCTTGGTCTCAGGAGGTAATAGTATAGTGCAGGCTTGGGGCATGTCCAGCCCATGACGTTGTTTGCTCTGGCCAAGGCAACAGCAGTTCCAGCCCATCACATCCGGGGTGAGTTAATTAAATATTTGACCAGATATAGCAGACTAATTTTTAAGTTGATAATTTTGTATGGAGAAAAGAGAAATGCATATTGAAGTTCAAGCACCCAAAGTGCTAGGCGCTGCCCTCTGAAAGGCCCTGTGTTTGTTCTTGCCTTTTAGAATACCTCCCCTGTCCTCCACCCACGCTGTGGCTCTGCTGCTTCTGGTCTCAGCCCAGTAAGGACCTGAGTCCAAGCGACTTGGTAGTGATTGGGAGACTGGCGGGATAAAAGGGGCCTTTAGGGGTGGTGTTTTCTGAGTCAAGATTATCAGGTCCCCTCTGTCCCCAGGGAGCAGTCCAGAATCCCTGGTACAAAGGCCTCTGTCACTGGGGTGAGGCTATCTGAGGTCATTCATGAACAAGAGAATACTGTATGTTATTTCAGAGGCATTAACAGTTTTTCCCTTTTCCCTGCACCCATCCAAGCAGAGGGGCTGTTCCCCAGTCCACAGAGCCTCAGGGAAGGGTATGAAGAAGCAGAGGGAAGAAAAGGAGAGATTCTTCCAGCTTTGGTTTCCAACAGCTGACCCTTGGAGGAATGGAGAGGTGCAACGCATAAACAGGATGTTTGGGGAGACAGAAATAAGCCTGTGGGGACTTCTGGGTTCTCAGGGTAAGTTCCTTAGCCTATGTGTTCTTAAAAAGGGCAGCCAGAGCCTAAACTGGGGTAGGGGGTGGGGAGCACTGCCATTACTGAAGCAGGGAACTAGAGGCCCCTCCCCTCCCCACCTTGTGCTTTTCTGTGACCTGATACTTGAATTACTAGGGCACTATGAGTCGGAACTGACTTCATGGCACTTAACAACAACCTCCTACCAAAGGAGCCCTGGTGGCACAGTGAGTTAAGCATTAGACTGCTGACCTCAAAGTTCAAACCCACCAGCTACTCTGAGGGAGGAAGATGAAGCAGTCTATTTCCATAAAGATTTACAGCCTTGGAAACCCTAGTGAGCAACTCTATTCTGTCCTATAGGGTCACGGTGAGTCCAAATCAATTCGATGTCAGGGTGCTTGGTTTTAAAAAAAAAGGGGGTGGAGGTTGGTGGGATAAATCACAAGGTTGGTGGTTCAAACTCTTCAGCCGTTCCTTGGAAAGCCTATCTATATAGGGTCTCTATGAGTCAGAACTGACTAGACGGCACTTAACAAACAACAACATGTACTCTTGAGCAAGTTATTTCGCCTCTCTGAGTCACAGCTTTCTCATCTGTACAATGGGCATAATGATAGCATCTCCCTGGTGTTGTGGTGGTTGTGAGAATGGGGGGGACAGAGAATCTGGTAAAGTCTGGCTTTCTCTCATCTCAGGCCCCTCCTTCCACTCCTTGTCCCTTAGACCCTTGAGGACCTGGGGATCTACCCTGCTCCTCCCCTCTGTCACTGACTGTCCTCCCATCTCCTTTCCTTCTACTCCAACCCCTGTAGCAAGCCCAAAGACAGGCTTCTTTCTGCCTCTGATCAATGTTGTCTTACCTGCGCCAGTTCAGTTCCAGGTCTCCGCAACAAAAAAACTATCACTTTGGGAATCACAGGATTTTGTAGTTTCCCATTGCATATAAAAGCTATGTTAATGCTCTATTGTAGTATATAAAAAGGATCCTGGTGTGGCTCTATAGGAAGCATTGGACTGCTAACCATAAGATCGGTGGTTCAAACCTATCAGCTGCTCCATGGAAACCCTATAAAAGTTAGCTATGAGTTGGAACCAACTCAGTGGCAATTAGCAACAGCAGTGTACTCTATTTAAAGTGTGCAACAGCATTATGGGAAATGCTGAATGATTGTAAGAATTATCAGAAAGTGACATGAAGTGAGCACTTGTTGGAAAAAAACGGCATCACTATAGACTTGCTCTATGTAGGGTTGCCACAAAGCTTTGTAAAATCCACAATACCTGCTGAGCACCATAAAAACGAGGTATGCCTGTGCAGTGCAGGAGGATGAGGATTTTTTTCTGTTTTATAGAATCTGAATCCCCAGCATCAAAATCAGAGATGAGTGTGCAGTAAACACAGAATTATTTGTGTAGTTAAATCAGTCCCTTTGGATAGGAAAGAAGAGAGCGGAGAGCAAGGAAGAAATGACCGGGAGTGCGGACACAGCCTTTGCCAAGACAAGAGCCTTTTCACCAAGCAGCCAGACCTCCCTCCGCTGCCCACCGTCTTTGTGCTGTGGGCCATGCCGCCCAGGGGGTTGCTGTTCTTCCTCTCCATCGCAGGTGAGGTGGGGCGGAGGTATGTGGGTGCCAGGCAGCTCCAGGTCCCTAGTGTGAAGGCGGGGGGCGGGGGTAAACAGTGAGGGAAATGGATGCTTTTTAACCTTCAGTCCAGAAATGGGCAAAAGAAGCATCAGCCACTTCCCCACTACTTGCTGCCCTTAGCAGCAGCCTCTCTCCTCTCTCCCTCTCCCCTCACATCCATGGCTCCATGGAGACAGGAGCCACTGCTGTCCATTTGGGATGGACCCGCTGTTTAATTAGATTCTCAGAATGAGAGGCAGAGAGGGATGAAGAAACACTAGACTCCTGGGTTGGGACTTGAGCAACTGGGATGAGGGACATGACTTAATGAGCTGGGGAGACTAGAGATAGAAACGTTTCTATGTGCGGATCTATCTGCGGATCCCATAGACACACAAGCTGAGCTCAGGGGTGGAGGGAAGAATCTGGAAGTCACTGGTACAGAGTGGTTAAAGCCACGGATGCTCTGGGGCAGACATTTTCACGCTGTGGACTGTGACCCACTAGGTCAGAAAAGCAATCTAGTGGGTCACAGCCCGTCATTAAAAAACAGAAGAAAAACAGAGCAGAAAGAAACACATCAGTGAGTCACTCAGTAAGACAAAGGTATTTTGTTTCTTTAATACCTTTTCTCTGGCATAGGGATCCTCCAAATTATCTTGGCAACAGATAGCATCTTGAACTCTAGTGGGTATGAGAGTTTGATTCTTTCTGGCAAGTGCCACATCAGTCTTTCCCTCAGCCCCTAACACCATAACCACCTCAGAGGTGCACCCTCTCGTCATTCTGGGTGTCCAGTCTCGGGTCTTAGGTACACTCTTAGGGTATCTGGCTAGAGGCTGGTTCCTGAAGGCCTAGTTACCACCACCCACAGCTGGAGAGTCTATTCCAACTCAGTGACTCAATAGGACAGACTGCCACATCGTTCTCCCTTGGAGAAGCTGATGGCTTCCAACTGTCGACCTTTTGGTTAGCAGCCCAACACTTAACCCATTGCACCACCCAGATACCTCAAGATTTTCTATTCCTTTCTGCACCCCACCAAAGCAGAAGCTGGGCAGGGGCCGTTTATTGGGACCCTCACATGGCCATGGAGTCAAAGGAAGGACATGTTGGGGCTTGGTGTTGGCTCTTGGGAAAAGTCTGAATCACTTATTACTTTGTTCAATCACTCAGTCACTCACTCATACATTCATTCATTCAACACACTGAGAACCCTTGTGATGTGCCTGCCACTGTTTAAAATGATTTAAGACTTGATCTTGGCCCTAAACTCCCTAGACTTCCCCAGGGGCTTTGTAAACATCCTGATCTAGGGTCGCCTGGGTGCCAGCACATCTGAAAACCTCCCTTGATGATGCTAACACGAGCCTGGGTGTTAAATTCCAGATACAGAGGCAGTTCCCCTACCCAGGGTCCTTGTAAATCAGGCATGGTGTGTGATGTCTACCTCAGGGAGTTGCTGGAAGGATTCAATGATTGAATTCACATAACAAGGGCTCAGTAACATTATTTTAAGGTACTATCAAAGCACTATTGCTGCAGAGGAAGGACACCAGGGTAGGGCCAGAGGAGATGTGGTAGTGGACCACAGCGATGGGAAGTTGAGGGTGTTGAGAGTTGGTGGGAGTGGCTGGCTTTTCCAAGTCAAGAGATCAAATCATGGGAGGCAGAGCTGGGAGCAAGAAGGGGCAGGTGGTGAAGTATGGATTAGGAGAGAAGTGAGGTGTGGCCGGAGAGGGGACTAGAGTGGGTTGGGCCATGTGGTGACTGAGCCTCTTCCGCCCAAGCCCTGCAGTTGGTGAGCAGAAGCGACAAGACCTTCAGTAGGGTGGAGGAGCAGCTGAGCTGGCAGGACGCCCTGAAGCACTGCCGACTAAACTACACAGACCTCGCGGACCTGCAGAGCATGAACAGCCTCAGTGCCTTGACGACCATTTACTCCTTCCTCACCACCACCGACGCATGGATCGGCCTCTTCTTCGACTCGGCCATTAATGGCCTGAGCTGGTCCAGTGGCTCCCTCTTCAGTGACCCAGGGTGGATACAGCTGCCCGCCTTCCGCAAGGGCATCTGCGCCACTATCTCTTTCATAGTTGGCCCTGTCATAACCCCCTCCTCGTGCACAGAGAAGAAGCCATTTCTCTGCTACTATGGTGTGTCCAGTTATAGTCAGTACCTGGTCTGCCCCTCAGGGGAAGCTTCTACATGCTAGAAGCAAAAGAGAAAGAAAAGAGGAAGGGGAGCAGGGGAAGTCTTTCAGGAGAGAACTGACTGTTGCTGATGTCTTGTGCCGTCCAGTTGGTTGTGACTCATGACGGCCCTGTGTGTTACACAGTAGAACTGTGCTGGGATGCTTTCTTGGTTGTTATCTTTAGCACATCACCAGGCCATTGCTTCTGTGGTGTCGCTGCCTGGGTTTGAACCACCAACCTTTCCATTACTTGCTTGTTTGTGCCACCTAGAGACCTCAACTGTCATTACCTTAACCCTCTTGCTACACCATTTCCTCACTGTGGCCTTAGATTCTTTCTCCTCTGCCCTCCCCCTCCCCATTCCCAAGACCCCATCAGAGAAATGGATATAAATTAGGGTAGAAAAAGAAAGTGAGGTCTTGAAGTGTTCCATCCATGATGTTCCTGCCCATTAAGGATTTAGGGAAAGAGGAAAAAGAAAGGAAGGAGAAAAATGGAAAGTCAGCAGGACATCCATCCGTACCCCTGCAGAGATGAGGAACAGAGTTAAGGATTTCTTTCCCTTCCATAAAAGGAGCCCTGGTGTTGCTGTAGGATAAGTACTGGACTGCTAACTGTAAGGTCGGCAGTTCAAACCCACCAGCTGCCCCACAGGAGAAAGTTTCATAAAGATTTATGGCCTTGGAAAGCCCCCTATACATGGTTACCATGAGTCAGAATTGACTCAATGGCAGTGGGAGTTGCTTGGCTTTCCTCCTATAATGCACAAGGTACGTCTGGTGTCTCATTGCCAGTGGGTTAGCAAGAAGTAAGCCACTCTGGGGATACTTCTGCTTCCAGGGAAGCAGGTAGGTGGAGGCTGGCCTCTGTGTCCCTGAAAGCCGTGATGGTGTGGCAATCACATAGGGGAACAGCCATAGGCCAGACAGCACTTTTCTGGTAAAAAGTACCGATTTCTGCTTTTGTCCTCAACAGTCAAGGTTCAGCCCTTACTCCTCCTCCTCAAATAGGGACAGGAAGAACCAATCTGATGTGTCCCTAAGCCACACCATACCTGTCACAGGCCCATATCAGGGGCTTTGGGATGTAACCTATGGAACCTTAGAAACTCTGGGTTCCTAAGCAAGTAAAGAGATTTCCAGGGGTAGTGAGTGTCCCACAAAGGAAGGTCTGCCTATGAGGTCTCCTTACTCCTTCTGGTGTCTTAAGATTCCACCAAAATGAGTCTCCCTGCCCACCCCCTTCATCTCTTCATGTCCTGGGGCCAAGCCCTCACTGTTTCTCCTTTAGCCTCCTCCCGTTTGTTCTCTACATCAAGCGAGTTTTTAAAAATGTAAATCAGACCCACTTTGCCTAAACATATTCAACTGATTTAACACTTAGAACAACATCCTTTTTGAGGTCAACGGGGCCGGGCCCTGTCTGATCCCTCTGGCTCATCCATCCCTCTCCCCAGGGCCACTAACTTTTTTTCTGTTCCTCAAACACACATAGCTCATGCCCACTCTTACACAGTTGTTTTTGCTGTTCCTCTACTGCATATACTCCTTCTTACCTCTGCAAGGCTGGCTCCTTCTTGTATTCCTTATGCTCACTCCAGATGCATCCTCTTCAGAGAGGTCTTGCTAAGCTCTTCATCCAAAGTGTAATCTTGCTTTATGCTTCACTGGGCTTTATGTCCTGAGCAGCACCATGAGAATATGAACAGAGCCTTTGAGTTTGTTTGTTGTTTGTTGCCACTGCAGCCCCATAGAAAGTAAGCTCTTCAAGAGTGGGGACCATGCTCGTCTTCTTTCTGCTCTTGTCTCGAGGCCTAGTAAGTATCAGGCCACTTTAAGTCAGAATCAACTGGAACGCATGTAATGACGGCATCATTATGAATAGCGTCGGGTCCCACGTTTTGTGGCTCACCAAAAGGTTCGAGTCGCTGGGTGGCACAAATAGCTAAGCACTCCACTGCTAGCTAATAGTTTAGCAGTTGGAACCCACACAGAGGTTCCTCAGAAGAAAGGCCTGGCAACCTGCTTCCAGACTATCAGCCATTGAAAACCTTGTGCAGCACAGGTTTACTCTGACACACCAGGGGTCACTATAAGCAGGAAGTGACTTGATGGTTTCAGAATAGTGTCTGCTCTGCAATTAAAAATTAAACCCCAAGCCTCTTGCCATGAAGTCAATTCCAACTCATAGTACCCCTATCTATAAGACACAGTGAATCTGCCCTTTAGGGCTCCCAAGGCTGTAACTCTTTACAGTAATAGACTTTCTCCAGTAGAAAGGCTGGTAGGTTCGAACCACTGACATTTTGGTTAGCCTCTGAGCACTTAACCACTGCACTACCAGAGCTCCTTCTGCCCTGCCATAGGTGTTCAATATTATGTATTGAATAAATGCAAAAATGAGTAAATAAGCCTCTCCCATATGCAGCCGTGCTTTCTGGACTTTGGCCAGCTCCAGACGCCTGCACCCCATGACGTGTGCTCCTGTTTCTGTCTTACAGACCCTGATGTAGGCCACCGCATGTCCTTGACAGCCTCGCCTCGCCTGACTACTGCTCTCAAGTCAGGTACACACCCTCTGTCTGCCCTTTTCTGGGGTCTGCCTTCATTTGCCTTATACTTGCCCATGTGGACTGCATCTGGGCCCCCTGTGCTCCACCACCCCTGTCTGACTGCTGGTCAGGAGGAGTCTCAGGTTCTACTGCTCCCAGCTGAAGCCTAGAGTATGGGGCCGGGGCGGGGCATGGAGGGGGGCAGGTCAGAGCAGGAAGTGACTTGATCAAGTCTGGCTGTCCTGGCTGCCTCCCTGTGTTCCAGGTGCCCCCGCGTCAGAGGCCTGGGTGTGGGGAATTTTGCTCTCAAATTTTTCCCAATGGGGAGTTACTGTCCTGGAAATTTTAATTTTTTTTTTTTATTTCATGTTTGGCAGAGACAAATTCTATGATGAAGAAAAGACCTTTTTGTGGCTAAATCATGGCTTCTCAATCCCTCCGCTTTGTTTTCTGCATGTTATAGTTGACAATGCCTCAGGCTCCGAAGCAGGCAGACCTTCATTTGAATCCCACCTCCCACTTACTGTGGCCTGAGTCTGCACAAGCCACATGGCCTGCCTGAGCCCCCCTGTTCAAATCTGTAAAATGAGGTTCATATTATCTGCTTTTTGGGATGATGTTGCTGTTCCTGTTAGATGTCAAGAAGTCAGTTCTGACTCATAGCAACACTTTATAGGGTTTCCTAGGAGCAGCTGATGGGTTTGAACTGCCAACCTTGCAGTTTTCATTCTAGTGCTAGTGGTCCAGTGCTTACCCTACAGCACCACACCAGGACTCCTTTCTGGATGGGAGTGAGCCACCTGCATGGCTCAGACCTGGCACCTGCTAGTATGTTGATAAAGGGTTAATAAAGGGTAGTTTTTTTCTTTGCATCAGTTTACCCACTGCTGTTTAGTTAATTCTGACTCACAGGGACGCTGTATGACAGAGTAGACCTGTTCTGTAGGATTGCTAAGGTTATAAATCTTTATAGGAGCCGAATGTCTCATCTTTCTTACGAGGAGAAGCTGGTAGGTTTGAACCACAGACCTTGTGCTTAGTAACTCAACTCACTCTACCACCAGGGCTCCTTAATTCAGTTTGTTGTTGTTGTTGTTAACTTCTGACTGATAACAACCCTATATAGGCTTTCCAAGGAGTGGCTGAGGGTTTGAACCACTGACCTTGCAGTTAGCAGTCCAGGGCTTATCCAACAGCACCACACCAGGACCTTTAAGTCAGTTTAGGTAGAGAAAGTATGAGGAAACTATTAGGCAAATCTGGATGGGTTCAGGTGAGCAGGATGCATTTGAATGTGAGGAGGAAACACAGGGGTGTTTCCTTTAGCCAGGTCTCTGCATTCAATAGCTTAGATCACAAGCTGTTTATATTCTTTTCAAACTTCCATGTGTTAGAATCAGGCTTGTAGCTTGTATGGATCAGCTGAGGCTGGCCTCCCCCAGGGCAGGCAGTGGGTCTAAGTCTCAGGGGACCCTATACAGCCCAACCTAGGGCAGAGAGTGGACATTAAGACTGCTGGGGAGGGCCTGCTCTGCCTCCTGCCTCACCAAGTCTGTGCCCTACCAGCCTCCAGGGATTTCCTCTGGCCTCTTTCTCAGCTCTCTGCCCAGGGAGGCAGGCGCAGCCTGGAGGAATCACACAGGAAGTTGACTCTAAACCAGAATTTCATTCATTAAAGCTGCTTCATTAAAGAAGCAGCTCTGTCAGTTGATTTTGACTCATGGTGATCCCATGCATGTCAGAGTAGAAGAGTGCTCCAAAGGGTTTTCAATAGTTGGTTTTTTAGCAAGTAGATTCCCAAGCCTTTTTAAAAGGAGCCTCTGAGTGAATTCAAACCATCCATTCTTTCAGTTAGCAGTCCAGAGTGTGAATCATTTGCAGCATCCATGGGTGTAACTGCTATTTTACTATGTGCCGACCATCTGCACAGATGGCACTGAACAATTTATATACACATTTTATTTTAACCTGACCTTATGTACTATTTTTATCCCAACTGCATGGACGAGAAGTTGAGAAGTAACTTACCAAAGCCATGCGGCTATGAGGAGAGCTCTTAGCCCTTACTTCCCCTAGTATTTTTTCCCTTTGTTACTTCTACAACAGCCATCGTCCCAGTGTGTGTTTAGTTTACCAGTTGAACCATGGCTTTCATCAAACCTAACATCCAAGGTTAGACAAGGTTTAGACCAGAACTCTAACCCTGGAGACTATGAGACCTGGACTGTCAGAGACCCAGGACCTCAGGCCTATGGTCCTCATGTTTTTTTTACCCCCAGCTGAGGTCCAGATCGGCCAACAGACCTTCACGTGGTTTGAACAAAGAATGACGTGGTCCTCAGCCCTGCTCTACTGCCGCAGACACCACACGGACCTGGCTGACCTGCAGAAGGTGATAGGTGAGGCCGACAGGGAGACTTTGAGATCCATCACCAAGGAGACCGAAGCCTGGATCGGCCTCTATTTCAACGCAGCCTCCAGGTCTCTGAGCTGGACCAGCGATTTGGGTACCAGCATCCCCAGCTGGTTGCAGGTGCCCACATTTGGGACGGGACTGTGTGCAGGCCTCCGAACCTACGCTGACTTCCCCCCCAGGGTTTACTCAGTGATCTGCTCTTTCCTACAACCCTTCATCTGCTTCTATGGTGAGTGACAGGCCACCCCAAGGCCTTTGGGCACCGAGGCTAGACCGGGATGGGAAGAGGCCTAAGAAAGCATTTCTATCTCTGAGAGTAACTGAATTCTGACGCAGGCTCCTGAGGCCCTTATACAATAAACCAGGGGAGAAAGTTGTGTCATTATAATTCAGGGGGGAAACTTTTGAGAATGAAATGGACCCCATGCAGCCTTAGAGCACATTATCAATTAGCAATAGCAATTAGCTATTGGACAGTGAAGTGGTTAAGAGCCTGTACTTTGGAATCAGACACGCTTTACTCCTCTCTAGAAACCAGGTGAGAGAGTATCTCTGAGCCTGTTTTCCTCATCTGGAGAATATATTTAATAACTCCCACCTCCTAGCAAGACTGAGTGACAGACTGAATATAAAGGACCTAGTGGAGAACCTGACACGGAGCAAGTACCTAACAGATATTAGCTATTATCACTGCCATTGTTGTTAATGCACGGGAACTAGACACACCCTGGGGCTTGGGTATACCGTGTCTCCTTGGCAACAAGCTTCATCATATCTTTTCCTCCTCCCTCCCTCCAATCCTTATTTATTATAGCTTGATTGAGACAGAATTCACTTAACATAAAATCCATCCTCTAAAGGGTAAATTATTCAGTGGTTTTTAGTGTACCCAGAGTTGGGCAGCCATCCCCACTATCTAATTTTAGGATGCTTTCATGGCCCTAGAAAGAAACCCCATCCCCATCAGCATTCACTCTCCATTGTCTCCCACTTCAGCTGCTGGTCACCACCTACCTGCTCTCTGTCTCTGTGGATTTGCCTATTCTTGGCTGTTTCTTTTTTGTGTGTTTTGGATTTACTGAGATTAAGACCCTTATCTATCAAATAGGAATAGTAGCTCCTCTCTTACAGAGCTGTTGTGAGAATGAAAGAATGTGAAATGTTCACTGCAGGACTGGTACACGTGGGGGTGGAATTAAAGTCGTTCTCCTGACTGGGTTCATGTGGTGGGAGGTTGGGCCATCAGTGCTTGGTGTGGCTTCTCACTTATTGGGTCTTATTGGGTGTGACAGAACTTCAGAAACTGTCTGACCTGCATCAACACTGCCCTCACGCTCACTCTCTATATCTTCCTGCAGATCCTTCTGTTGGACATCGGGAGTCAGCCAAATTCCCTCTGCTCTCTCTCACTCCCTCATCGGAAGTGACTTTGTGGACGACTCCCAGGCTGAGTATACACCTCCATTTTCTGCTCTTTATGAGTGCTTTGAGCTTGCTCTTGGCTGGATCTTGGGATCTCCAGGCCTGGGGAAATGTAGAAGGCAATCAGTATAAAGCGGCCCTGGGAAAGTTCCAGGGGATCCTCCCAGAAGTGCCAATGGAGGGGCTAGAACAGGAGGGAGTCTACTGGGCAGCAGCCAGGAGGCTCTGCTCCCCAACCACGCTGGGCAGTAGGGCTGGGGGAAGAGGGACTTAGCTACCATTAGCATCTCCCTCCCTGAACCTGGTCACTGAACCTGTGGCTTCAGAGTTGGGAAAAAAAAAAAGTCTCTCTGGTGAGGTGATGAAGGAGACAAAGCCAAAGCCCACTTAGAGGGCTCCTGAGGAAAATGATTAGAGATGTGTTTGAAGTTCAGTATCCAGAGAGGCAAGCCAAGCAGAGATGCTGGTTAAAGGTCCTTTGGAGGGGACAGAAAATGAGGGGTATGTTGTTGGGACTGCATGTGGAATGGACATGCAGAAAGCAAGAAGGGTGCTGGCCCTCAGGAAAGACCTCCTCTTGCGACTGTTTAGAAGCCAGACTCCAGCTTCCATCCTGGTGGTCTCCATTTATACCCTTCCCTCTGGTAGCGCAGTGGTTATGAATCAGGCTGCAAACCTTAGGTCAGCAGTTTGAAACTACCAGCCTCTCCATGGAAGAAAGATGAGGCTTTCTGCTCCCATAAAGATTTACAGCCTCAGAAACCCTGTACAGGGTCGCTATGAGTCGGAACGAACTCCATGGCACTTAACAACAACAACCTCCGACTGGTTAGATCACAGAGTCCTTGTAGCATGGAGAAAATTCCCCAAATATCTTCAGTTATTACTTCATTTTGCTTCCCAAGAGTTCTGAAGCTAACAGGATAATGGAGTGCAAAATCATGTCTCCTGGCCTCCTTACAGACACCCACATAAGACAAAGGCATCGTTGTCTTTTTTGAGGGCAGAGGATATAGGAGATTTGTTCAAGGTTGTAGTGAACTATTTCTTACTCCTTGTATTCAATGTTGATGGAGTCTCTCGTTAGGGGTCTGTCCTGAAGGAGCTCACAGCTAGCTGGGAAGAGAGTTCATGATGGAACAGTGTTGTGCTTAGTATGTTCACAGACACAGTGAGGACACACAGAGAAGGGGAGTGTCCCAAGCTCCAGTAATCACCAGGAAGGGTTCCTGAAGGAGGTGACTTTGTAACTGCTAGCTTAGGGGGGTTACAGTGGGGTGGGCTGGGCTGCAGGTAGGAGTTGTAATGGGTGGGATGGTTAGCACTGGAGATCCTGGGGGACCTTTGTGGGTTGCTAAGGAAGGTGACTTTCACCCTGAGACAACAGTACCTGGGTATGTGAGTGCTGTCAGATTTGATCAGAAGGCCAGGGAGTTGGTGTTCTGTTTCCCATCTAACGTTAAACGGGCACCCACTTGATTACTCCAGGCCCACTCCTCATCCTGGCTGCCCTAGCTGGTTCAGGAGGCCTCCCTACTCACCAGGATCTTCAATGGGTGGGCAGGGCTAGGCCAAGCTGCTGTCCGGGCCCCACTCCCACTGCCCAGGCTCTGCAGGGGAACTCCATTCGATGCATTCTGCTCTAGTTGCTCGGATCATTGGGGAGGTATCCCAGGGCCAGCGGGTCCCACAATAGTTTTCTTTCCAGCCTTAGAGACCAGCGCCGGCTCCCTGGCTCCCCAGCCCCAATCAAGCTCTTCGACCATCCCGGGGACCATCTTGGCTTCTAATGAAAAGGACAGGACCCCGTTGGTCACCGCCCAGAGCGCATCCTCAGGCTCCACTTCCCAGACTACGCCAGCACAGAGCCCCGCTGGTCCTGCATCCCCGGGCAGCCTCAATCTCCCCCAGGAAGTGACCAGAACTCTAGCCGGCTCTTTGAGCCCTGCTGAAGTCTCCCCGGACCCCATTACCCAGCACAGTCTCCTGACTCCGATGGAGGAAACAGAGGGTGTCTCGCTCGACTTCCTCCGCAGCGACTCAACCACTTCCGGGATGGCAGTGTCCCCCGGGTCGGTCACATCCTGTGGGCCTCGCTGCTCCGAGGCTCAATGGAGCTCCCAAGGGACGGAAAAAACAGTCTTGGAGCCTTCAGGTCCAGGGAGCCCGGCTGTGCCTCAAAGAACAACTGTGCGCCAGGCATCGCCAACACAAAGTCAGGCCCCACCCCCAGGGCCACCCGGAAGCAGGCCTGGGCCTGAAACAGGTGCCTGCGAGCGTCGCCCAGGGGGAGCCCCACATCTGCCCCATCCCAGCACCAGGCCTCTATCACTTGGGGAGACCCAGTCTGGATTACCATGCTTAGTTCCAACTACGGCTGGGAATGGGAGCGTAGGGTGTGTATTGTGTCATTCCAGGCCACTCTATAGAGAATCCTATCTAGCTAGAAGGATTGGCCAAGTGGCAGCATCGATGGACTCAAGAGTGGCAACAATAGTGCGGTTGATCCAGGATCGGGAGGTGTTTTGTTCTGCTGTGCATAAGGTCGCTATAAGTCGGTACTGACTCGTTGGTACCTAAGAACAACAACATCCAGCTAGAAGCAGCCAATTCTCCCTCCTAAATCGGGCTGCGAACCTTAAGGTCAGCTCTTCGAAACTACCAGCCGCTCCGCGGGAGAAAGATGAGGCTTTCTACTCCCGTAAGGATTTACACCCTCGGAAACCCTGTACAGGGTCGCTATGGGTCGGAACCGACTCGACGGCACTTAACAACAACAACCTTTCTGATAATAATTTAGGGCGGAGGTGGGGAGGGGAGGGTGGAGAAGACACCCTTTTTTTGGCTGTTAGGAGCAGGAATCTGACAGACAAGGGCTGGAATGGTGAGTTACTGTGTGGCCTTAGGCAAGTACCCAGACCTTAGGAAAACCATTTTGCTCATCTTTAAAATGAAGAAAATATCATCTTCATGAGGTGTTTCTCTCAGTGCCTGGCATCTGGCAGGTATTCAGTAAACGATGTCTTGCCATTTTAATCTCAATTCATTAGTGATATAGTTAGTGACTTGCTCTTTCTATTTCTCTCATTTGATAGAGTTGTTCTCATTTTACTAATATAAATTTTTATACATGATCACAATTAGGAATGATTGAGATTGCAGAATCTGGACAGGCAAGAGGTGTTTTCTACTTCTTTGTATCCATCCTATACCTAGAGTATTGCTTTGTACATTGGTAGAGGTTTACTAGTCTTTGCCCGAATATCTCTTTTGAACAAGGCATTGGACTATGGATACCAAGATGAGCAGGGTGTGTCTCGTTTATAAGAACTTAGTCTTTAAGGAAGATGGGCACAGGAACAACCGGCCAGGTAAGTGCTACACGGGAAGCATAAACATGCTCAAGTGTTCATCGACCTTGAAGGTGGTAATTGAACAAAAAGGTAATTCAAGAGTTCACTGGCAGCAAAGACTAGAATGTGTTCTTGGCAGAGGAAGCAGCATGGGCAAAGATGTTGTGAAGTATGGTGGAGTTGGTTCTGACCCATAGCCACCTTGTATAGGGTTTCTGATGAGCAGCTGATGAGCTTGAACCTCTGACCTTGCATTTCAAACAGCTTTGCAGTCTGGTGCGTTAACCTACAGCATCACACCAGAACAGGGCAAAGACAGGTAGATGTGAAAAAAGTGTGTGGTTTATTTGGGAATGGCAGTCTGATGTGGAGTTTATATGGAGTTGCCATGAGGTGCTCTGGGTTAATGCACTGGACTATAAGGTCAGTTTGAACCGCAAGGTCGGCAGTTCAAGCTCACCAGCTACTCCTTGGAAACTCTATACAGGAATGCTTATGAATCAGAACCGACTCCACAGCACTTAACAACATCAACTGGAGAAGGGAGTGGCAGTGGATGAGGGGAAGAAGGGCGAAGATTTGGCCAAACTGTGAAGGAACTGATCCTGTTGCCTATGGAGCTATCAGAGACTTGAGCAAGTGAGCTCAATGCTCAGATGCGGAGCTTCCAGAAACTCGGTGGTTGTAATGAGAGAGGACAAGGTCTGTACTGAGACACTAAATGAAGAAACTATGATTCGACATTATACATGCAATAATAACAATGAAAGGAAACGTCATGCTTAAAGACCTAGAAGATGGGGAAAGATATTTTCGAAAATGCTAACAGCGATTATATTCAAGTGATGAGAATATGGGTGTTCCCCTCCTCTTTTGTGTTTCTATATTTTACAATCTTATGAATTCCATTAAAGGAATCTGCAGTGTTTTGCGTGAGGAAAGGAAGGGACAGACATGAAGTGTTTGGTGGGAGACGACAGTATGATCAGGGTGACTGGAGCTGGGGCCTGTTGTGGGACAGTGGCGTGAGGAAGGAAACGAGGGCTCCCAAGACATGTTAATTAAAGAAATAGAAACACAAATACATGTAAAAAAAAAAAAAAAGTTCAGCTTTGCTCACTGAATCACTGAAATGCCAACTAAAAATAAGATACATTTTTAAAAATCAATTTTTTATCTATCAGTTTGGTAAAGATTCAAGAGTTATAACATTGTGATGAGGGAAAACCAAGTTATCTCAGACACTGGTATGAGTGTAAACTGCTACCATTTGGGCAATGTGTGTCAATTTCAAAATGTGTATATTCTTTCATAAAGGAATTCTACACTTAGGGAAATAATAGTACAAGGGACTTTAAAAGTGCTTGGAAAAATTCCATTATCTATTAATTTTTCCACAAGCTTTTTGAAGCCCCCTCATATTACATACATAGAGATTGTACCTACCCACACAGGTTATTCATTACAGCATTATTTATTACAGTGAAAAATTAAAGGCAATTTGATGTCTATCAAAAGTAAATTGGTTAAATAAGTTATGGTATGTTCAATGAAATACTATGCTGTGGGTTTTTTTTTTAAAGAGGATAAAGTAGATCTTTATACATTCAAATTTTTAAAAATTTGTGAAGGATATTCAATAGCAAAATGTTTAGTGGTTGTTTTGGGGTTGGGACAAGAGATACTTACGCTTAAATATTTTACAGTAATGTATCAAAAAAAACCCCACCCAAACCCCAAATGTAGTTATTTCTGTATTTGAGGGAAAAAAAGACATCTACCAGGCTCTGACAGGACTTTGGTGACCGAATGACCGTGGAAGTTAGGAGGAGAGAGTAAGGGAGCAGCTAAGGCTGCCCTGGAGAGTGGAGGATACTGGGAGATGAGGCTGAGCTTGGTTTTGAAGTACTCTCAGTTTGGGATGCTACTCCTTGATGGGCATCTCTGGGTATCACAGTGGGGGTCTTTATGAAGACAACATTAAGGTATTGGGTCTCTTGGGGTGGGGATTACTGGAAGGAGAAAGAAGATACTAGAACAAAGTTCGTAATATTGCCCCAAGTTCCTCAAATCCTGTCAGGGGTACTTTTTGAGATGATGGTGTGGAAAATACAATGAAAGGGTACATGAACCTGGGGGAGGAAGTCAAGAACTGGCAGGGGCAGAGCTTCCCACCCCAAGTGGCTTCTACAGCAGCACTGGCTGCATGCTGTCTCCAAGCTCAGGAGTGGTCCCTAATACCATATTTCCTGACTCCTGGCTGTGTCTGCAAGAACTCTCTTGTTTCCCCCTCCTGTAGCTGTGACCAGTGTAGGAAACGGCATCGATATAATAAGAAATACAGTCACTATTACTCGTGCCCAACACTGGAGCTCCCATATGGATCCAAAGTCTAAAGAAACACTGGCATCAGAGCCAGGTAACTACTTCTGTTTCTCAAGTTCCCACTCTTACAACTGAGCAGTTAAATTTAAACAGTCACGCCTTAGCAACAAACCCTGAGGATCTTTTATTCTTTTCTTTAAATGAAAGATGGCAAGAAGTGTTGGGAGGGGCCCAGGAATAGGATGAAGATGTGGATTCTAGTTCCAGCTCAGTGACAAACACTTGGGAAAGCCAAATTTCCTCATTTCAGCATCCAGATTTCTCATCTCCAAAAGGAATATAGTAAAAATTGCAACATAAGAGTTGTGGGTACCCAGTGAGATAAATGGAGTCCTGGTGTGGCACTGTGGGCTAATACGTCAGACTGCAAAGTGGTTTGAACTGGAAGGTAGATGGTTCAAGTTCACCAGCTGTTCCTTGGAAACCCTATACAGGATTGCTATGGGTTGGAAATGACTAGCTGGCACTTAACAACATCGAGATAATTATGCAAATGTACTTTCTATACTAGAAAGTGCTATGCAAATATAGTCTTATTATGAGGTTGTAGTTCCTGTGATGATAATAAGTAGCTCATGGCTTTTGGTTGATTCAGCAAAAGGACCCTGGGCTTGTTTATGGGTCCAGAGAACTTACCTAGTTAGACAGCATCTGGAAATCTGGGCCCAGGAAGAAGTGAGTTATTTCCCTCACAGTGCTGAACATCATCCTTATATACTTATTAAAAGGGGAGAATACAGCAGAGATGGAAAATAATTGCTGAATGGGTGGCTAGGCCATAGGAGGGAGAACAATTGTTACTAACTTGGACACTTACCTTTGTAGACATTAGATTTGGTCCCAACTTTCATTTTTGAAATCCTACATCTTGGTGTGGTGCTGTGGGATGAGCACTGGATTGCAGGTCGGTTTGAATCACAAGGTCAGCGGTTCAAACTCACCCGTCGTTCCATGGAAACCCCTATACAGAGTTGCTATGAGTCAGAACTGACTCGACGGCACTTAACAAAAGCATCATCATTATGTAGCATCTAATGTGTCCGATGGGCATCCTGATTGCTAAGAAGCTGAAGTTTTCAAATGACAAGTTAATATCCCCCCCGAACCAGGCAGCATTTTCTTTTCCAGGGCACTTTGGAATCCTGAAAGCAGACTTTAACACTCCAGGTCTCAGGAACCCAGAAGAGATGAAAGACCAGTTTTTGAGTGAGGTA